GGGAGCGCAGCCGTGGCTGCGGGCAGGCCTGTTCCAGCCTTCGGTCAAAGAGGTAGCTGCGTTGCTTGGTTAAATGGTTTTGTTCAGTAGCAAAGACTGGGTAAAATCCGCCTTCTGAGCAGTGGTTTTTAATTCTCAGGAATCAAAAAATGAGACCGAATTGAAATAAACACGGTTTCTTGTGTAAAAGGAATGATTCAATTCGAATGTTAATGCTTAATGTAAACATTCTACTGTTTATAGAACAGTGAAACAGATTTTTATATTTTTTTTTATTCTAATTACACTTTCTACTTGTAATTTCATACCAGTGTGCTGAAATCAAACTTTCTGAAGATGAATTTTATTCTAGAAATAGCACTGTCTCCATTTTTGTTCTCTTGTAGCAGGATCTTTGATGACCACAAAGCATTCGCAGCCACAATCTACGTCTGGAAAAAGCCTAACTTCAACTAGTACAAATACTCCTTATTTTAGAGTAGCAGGTAAAACATTACATTGTTTCTTTTGTTTTTCTTCTGTGGGCCTTTTTCCTCAGTGTCTTGAGTTTAGTAGTGAAGTTCTTGAATTATGTCTTAGGAACGTGTACATGCTTTCACGGTAGTAAAAGATGTTGTAGTATGACATGTTAGGAATTACTCTTCGATGACCTTAACGGTTAGTTTGGATTACATAATCAGAAAATTGGTCCCTATAAGATCTTGCAACTAGAAAATGACCAGTTAAACTGCCGTTGCGGTTCGTGTTGTGGTTCGTGTGTTTTATGCCCTCTCAGGACGGTGAAAGTGCTTGAAAGACTGCAGCATTCGTCAAGAACTTGTTACGGTTCCCTATGGAACGTAAACACAGTTCTTGGCGCTCGCTAAGGGGTGTGTCAGGATGGGCCGAAACCCTGGTGGGGCTGGGAGTTGAATCTGAGCACGTTGGGACAGCAAGGGGCTGAGCTCGCTGTGAACTTCATGAGACCTGGCCCAGCAGCAGGTGACATGTGCCAGCCTGTGTCTGTCCCTGAACTGGCTGCTCCCGCTGAGGAGCGCGGGCTGAGGCGGCCCTAATCCGCGCGGAGCTGCCTCCCGGCGCTGTGCGGAGAGGTGCTGCTGCACTGCCCTGCACAGAGCTGCCGCCAGGGCCCCTCCTGTGGGGTGCAGCTCCCGGGGCTAACGCGGGGCTCCCGCAGTACCAACGTGCAGCGCTCTTCACTGTGTGCCGAGGAAGCCCTTCGCACAGCGGCAGTGCGTGCATGCGTGTGCGGACGTGTGAAAGAAAACGTGTGTCTCTATACTTCAGGTTATGGAGCTTTGTTACTCGCTTTCTTAATGTTACTCACGTTTTTCACCTTTCTTTCAGAAAGTACAGAAATTCCAGCTTACATGACTAAATGCCCGAGCAACGGGCTTTGCAGGAGGTTGCCACCAGACTGCATGACATGTAACACCAACTACTCTTGTGTGTACGGGAAGCCGGCCACCTTCGACTGCAAAGTCAAGCCACACGTTCATTGCGTTGTAGGTCACTTGTTACTGTTACAGCCCGATTTAAGTAATTTAATTAAACTGTGGCATCTTGTCATAAAATATAAAAAATTGATTTCCGGGTTCTTACGTAGGCAGGTTTGCAGATCTGCGGTACATTTGGTTGGATTCAGCTGTAGGTGGTTGCTGCCCTTCTCTATTTTGCCTCTCTTGCCTTGGATCTCTTTCGTGCGCAGCCACGCAATTGAGTCAAATCACTTTGTTACCGATCAAAACTGAACCATTTTGAGAGTGAGGAGGATAAATATCTGTCAGAGGTACCAACTGCTCTCACAGACGAGACTGAATCAGTCTCCTTTTGGCAGTAGCCTTGGATTGGAGGAAGCACTGATGTTAAACTGCGCTTTGATAGCTCTTGGTCAGTTTTCTAATGTTGATTTTTCTTCTTTGCTTGACTACTTAGAGGTAGCAAAGAGGGTAGCTGTTATTTTGCCCAAAATGTCTACCCGTGAAATGTGATTTGGTATTGCACACTGACGCTTTTTTGTTACTAGTGAAGTGATAACGCTGTCCTTCCGTAGGATGAGACCAACCACGAGCAGGAGAACTTCACAGTTAACATGACGTGCCAGTTCTGCTGGCAGCTTGCCACCACTGACTACGTGTGTACCAATTCTACAAACTGCATGACGGTTTCTTGTCCACGACAACGCTACAACGCCACTTGTACGGTACGGGATCATATTCATTGTCTAGGTAAGCTGGCCTGCAACACATTCTGTAAAGAAGCTGTTTTTTCTAAAGAATTTATTAACACTTTTTGTAATAGGTAAATACAATGATTGTTTATGTCCGCTGCAGTAACAGGTTGTACCTCGATTGATCCATTGAGGTTTTTTATACTTACATTTTAATTTTTAAGTGTAATAGTGACACCTGACTGTAAATACTGTTGTATAACTTCCCATGGAGAAAACAGTTCTGTTTGATTTTTGTCAACTTCTATGAATTAATCTAATTTGGTCACTGCTAATAGAATCAATACCAAATGTCTCAGCAGGATAATTGCAAAAGTTCTTGGCAGTTTCACCCAACTAGTTCAGTTTTCCCCCGAGTTGTTCAGTGACCTTGTGTGTTTTCTGGTACGGGACAAAGACCGATGGAGCAGAGGACTGAAGAGCGTAGATGCGCTTTTGTCTTGTTTCGATTAGTGTCAGCCCTTTCAGACTCTTGCTAGAGAAATACAGTATCCTCTCGCTCCTCGTTCTTGTACTCATTTTGTGGTCTTTGTGACATTAAGGTCTGAATGTTTTCTAATGTTTAGGGAATCGTGTCTTTCCTAAGATGCTCTATTGCAACTGGACTGGAGGCTATAAGTGGTCAACTGCCTTGGCACTAAGGTATGCAAGAACTGTTAGATAACGTCAAGCTAAAATAGATAATATTGTTAGATTAATTGTCTATAAAATCTGCAGGCTGTGGGTGGTTACACTTGGTATTTCGTAAGGGTGTACTGAATAACCAACGTTCCGTGTAGTCTAGCTTAGACTTTGGAGGTGTAGGGAGCCTGGAGATTTCATATGCTACGGTGCTGGCCATCTTCAGCGAGTAGAGCTTGAGGGCAAACATTCCCACTGTTTCTGTGTCGAATGTCCTTTCGTCACAGTAAACGCCAGTAACTCCTGGGCTTCACAGTAGAGGGGACACGTTGCCTTTTTTTCTGTGTAGTGGTACATGAGCTACAAGTGCTCAAAAATCTGCATATTTATGGGTTTTTTTTTCTCCTAGTTTGTTTTAAACAATTAAGGCTGAAAATTGTCCAAATTACTTCTTAGCATCTGAAATGGTACAACTGTTTCTGAGTTTGATAGATGTCACTGGGCTGTCTGTGGTGGCAGACGTTTGTTACCGCTTCCTTCCCGACTGTAACAGCTGGAAATGCCTTAAGATGAAGTTTCTTGCATTTGAAATTATTAGGGAAGAGACCAGCGCAGCAGCATGGAAAGAAACGCTTTAGGTTATTTTTGGAATATTACGCCATTAGAGCAACACAATAGCGATTTGAAAGTAATTGAAGTTCTGCTGGTGGTAAGACCTTTTTCATTAAATTTTAATATTTCAAAAGTGGATAATATGGTAAATGAAGTAGCGAGACTCTGTTTTCCTGGAGCCAAAGATGCAGTAAGACTGATGAAGAAAGCGATCTGACACACCTTCCTTTATAGCACAAGTTGTTCTCTGCCACCAGCTGGAGAAGCTGCCCATTGCCTGACTTCTGCATGGGGCTGGGTTTAGCACGCGAGTCTGTTTCTGTAGCTTGTTGGCGTTGGGGTTTTTTTTAGCTGCTGCTAGCTTAGAAAAGTTGAGGCACATTCATGAATCTGAGTGTTTTGGGGTGAATTGCTTGTCATGAATGAAAAACTGTCAAGTCTCTGGATAGTATTACTTTGCTAAGAAATAGTGCTTTTTCATCAAGAGCTTTCTCATTTAATAGCCCAAACGGTGCTTTTTGGACAAAAAATACTGTAAAGCAGAACTGGCATTGACTTGTAGATGTGTCAGAAAGAAGTGGATACCCAAATGGAGTGCCTCTAAAGCGATAATAACGAACCATGTTTTTGTTCTTACAGCATCACCCTTGGTGGATTTGGTGCTGATCGTTTCTATTTGGGCCAGTGGCGGGAAGGTCTGGGAAAACTCTTCAGCTTTGGTGGACTTGGAATATGGACACTAATCGATGTGCTGCTGATAGGTGTTGGCTATGTGGGACCTGCAGATGGTTCTCTTTATATTTAAATGTGGGTGCAGTGTGCTTCAGAGAGGGTAATTGCTTGGAAAAGGCTCTAAATAAAAGAATGTAGAGGTCTGAGCCTTCAAGTTAGTATGAAGAACAACTGTTCTTTCTGTGTGCATACATTTTAATGTACAGCATCTGTACTTGGTTCGCCTTTAACTAAGGTAAAATAAAAGAGTGGATCACTGAGGAAGTTGAAATGAATTTCCTTTCTTCTATGGACGTGCTATTTTTCTATGAAAAAAGTTGGAACGGTTAACCAAATTCTGCCCTGTGCTTGAACTTGGATGATCCGTTAAGCACCAAAAGAGATGCAAGCTCACTTGAATATTGAGTTGTTTACTTAATATTTGTGTGTTTGAATTTAAAGCTAACTTCCCTAAATATGTCAGTGATGTTTTTTTTGTGTGTGTGTGTTTGTGGAAGGATAATTTATTTGCCTGAACTCCTCTAGCAGTGTGTAGATCACTGTTTTATGATGTTAATTACATTGATCTCTTGTTTTGGGATATTGCAAGAGCTAACATTTGCTTAGTGACTTGTTGACTTAAAATTGTGGGGCTTTTAGAACTAGATTGCAGTAGCACTGAAAACTAAATATGAAATAATTCAAAGAGATTTTAGGATTATTCCAGTGTCTTTATTTTGGTTGGGTTTGACCTGCCTGTCAGCAAAAGGTCCAGTCCCTGTTCCTGTGCTGGCAGGCTTACCAGGTTAATTTAAAAAGGGTTGGCAATGTAATCGATGTGTTTATCCGCTTACGACTTGGTAACAAGAGAACGCAGCAAACCGTGGTGTGGTGGCAGGAGGAGGACGGGGTTTGGCTCCCCTGGATCCCGAAGGAGGCTGCTGCCCCTCCGCCGGGCGGCCTCGGGCCCTGCCCTCCCCTCCCCCTGCAGCCGCCGCCTGCGCAGCGCGGAGCTGCGGTAGGTCGGGGCGTCCCGTCACCTGAATAAACTTGAAGCTGCCGTGGAGTTAAGTACGATCGGTGTTTTCTGTGACTTCG